ATCCTAGTTTAGATTAAAAATACATTAGTCTAGGAAAATAATTGTCGATTTTGAAAAAAAAAATCCTACCCAAAAGAACTTTTCAGGGATGATAGGGGGAGGGTGGGTGATCATAAAACCGAAAATATCAAACATTCACCCCTCTGGCGTTTTGCGCTATAGGGGTTGAAAGTGCGCCATTGGCGATTACTTAGTACCTATTGATTTTACAAAAAAATGTTTCAAATAAAAGATGTGCAACATTATTTGATCTACAATGTTTATCTAAAGATTAAGGGCCGTCTGTGGTCATAGGGGCCGTTTGAAATTTTATAATGAAAATGAAAAATTTTAACCAACGTGAAAAAAATTTCTACAACTCATACAACATTTTTGCTTTATGAAGTTTTTACTCACCCCTGCCGTTTTTCAATAGGGGTAGTTTAAAGTTTTTTTATTTTTTTACAAAAAAATTTTCTCCATAAAAGTTTTATAAGATGACATTTCTTACAATTTTTCCTTATCAACTTTTTTTGTAACTCACCCCCATTCAGCGGGGGAACACTTCCCTCGGGGAAATTTTAGTTTTTAGGGGTATATATTATTTTTTTTTCTTTTCTCGCCTTTAGTGCACATAAAAAGTTGCATTAACATTGTATTAAAAGGATTTTTTTTTCACCACCTTTTTGTTTTTAGGGGTAGTTCGCCTATTTTCAACTTTACAAAAAAAAATTATTGAGAAAACTTGTTCATTTTATTATTTTGAGCAACTTTTCTCTATAACTTTTTTTTGTAAAGTTGAAAATAGGCAAACTACCCCTAAAAACAAAAAGGTGGTGGAAAAAAATCCGTTTAATACAATGTTAATTGCACCTTTTTATATGCACCAAAGGCGAGAAAAGAAAAAAAAAAATATATACCCCTGAAAACCTAAGGGAAGTGTCCCCCCGCTGAATGGGGGTGAGTTACAAAAAAAGTTGATTGGGAAAAATTGTAGTAAATGTAATCTTATAAAACTTTTATAAGGAAATTTTTTTTTTGTGAAAAAATAAACAAACTTCAAACTACCCCTAATGAAAAACAGCAGGGGGTGAGTAAAAACTTCATAAAGCAAAAATGTTGTATGTGTTGTAGAAAAATTTTTCACGTTGGTTAAAATTTTTCATTTTCATTATAAAATTTCAAACGGCCCTTATGACCACAGACGGCCCTTAATCAAAAAAGTCTTTAGATAAACATTGTAGATCAAATAATGTTGCACATCTTTTATTTGAAACATTTTTTTGTAAAATCAATAGGTACTAAGTAATCGCCAATGGCGCACTTTCAACCCCTATAGCGCAAAACGCCAGAGGGGTGAATGTTTGATATTTTCGGTTTTATGATCACCCACCCTCCCCCTAGCATCCCTGAAAAGTTCATTTGGGTAGGATTTTTTTTTTGCAATACATGTATTTTTCGACTATTTTCCTAGACTACATACATAATAGCTTATAGTGAATAAATGTTCAACACAAAAAAAATATTTTTTCGGACCCCTGTATTATTATAACAAACAAAATTGGTATAATTTAGTTTTGGAATATCCTTAACCAAAACTTGTAGTGAGCTTGTTTCAAAATATGACATTTTTGCTGTTTGATCCATTAAATTTTGAAAATATGTATGTATGTTGTTGTGATCACCCTGTATAGTATTGAAACAAAAATTAGTATATTTGGATTTCAGACCATTCTAAACAAGAATTTGCTATCAGACTTTTTCCAAAAAAATCCCTAATAATGCTTATTGAAATTTGAGCCTATAAATTTGGCCACCCTGTACACCAGTACAGCCACAGAAATAAAATTATAAGCCTAAGTGCCAAATTTGAGTAGATATGACGCAAAAAAAAATAAGCCCGGCATTACAGAAGCTCTGCAAAATCAAGATACAAATGCAGGTCCTGCAAGTCAAAGACGCAGGCAGAAGGCATTTGCAAGTTGCCTGCAAATTTGCGCATGGTGGTAGTGAAACGGTCCCGTAAGAAGTCCTTGCATCATTTTGACAACTTTGACATTTAAAACTGGTAAATCAGTAGCGCCGAAACACTTTTTTTTCGATAAATATGACGGAATTGCAGATTTTTTCTGTAATTTGGTCGTTCCTGCAAATAGAGCACTTATGCAAGTCGGGCATATTTGTAGAACTGCAAATTTGCAGGGCGGTCAGTCTAACACTGTATGCCTAATTATTTTTGTTCTTAATTAACTATTTTTGGTATGTACGTAAGTATAATCAATATAGGGACATATTTGTTGATTATAATAATTATTCAAAAATATAGAATATAGGTATAGTTCAAATGCCATGAAGCACACGGCTTTTACTAAATCACCAAACATTGGCCAAATGTTTCACATCTATATGTTTCTCTGTTTGTCAAAAAACACAAAGTTGTATGTACGATTTTGTTTGTGTAATAATGATTTTTGCATTCCTAAATATCAAAATATGGTTGCAATAGTGTTTTATTTTTTACTGTCTCTATTTATTTTTCAGGGCCGGTTTCTCAATAGCAAGTCACCCACACCCGCGTTAAGCATAACTCCAGAGTGAACATTGCATACTAGACACGTTTACCCTGGAGTTTAAACCAACCCGGAGTCGGAGGTAACTCGCTATTGAGAAACAGACCCTCAATTACATATTATTCAATAATAATAAGCACTAAAACGATTTAATATGGACATTTAAAGTAAGTGTTTATCTCACAAAGCCAAATAGTGATATCAATCTACTTTAGATATTCATAATCAGAATCAATAAAAACACTGCTAGTTTCCCATCTTTTCCATGCATTTGCCATTTACATAGTAAACGCGCCAAGAAAGAACGTACTGCAGCTGACGGCCAGCGAGAGTTTTAGCATCGCACTGGCGAGCAGATTTAGCCGATTCGGCAATCCTATAGAGTTTACGATTCTTGACAAGTTGACGTTCCTGCTTTTGACGGAAACACCCGAAAGACCACTGGCGTAGCATTTTTTAAAATTAAAAATAAATTCAATAAATCATACTTAGGCATCGAATCTTTTCATGAATTTGATAAAGCACTATTTCAACACATTTTCCAACCCCTATGTAAAATCCCATTAACTCAAACCCTGTCGAAATATGAAAAACTACCCTTAACAAATAAAAATGAATAAATATCGAGATTTTCCTATTTTTTCCAACTTGGACTTCGAGACTTGCCATTAAATTAATGGGGTACTATTTCAAATAATTTCCAACCCCCATGCAAAATACCATTGACTCAAACCCCGTCGAAATATGAATAAAATACCCTTAACAAGTGAAAATGCATAAATATTCAGATTTTCGAATTCTTTTCCAACTCGGACTTCGAGTCTTCCATTAAATTATTAGGGTACTATTCTGACACCATTTCCAATCCCAATGCAAAATCTCATTGACTCAAACCTCGTCGAAATACGAAAAACTCCCGTGAAAAAGTAAAAATTCATGAATATTGAGATTTTCATATTTTTTTCCAACTCGGGCTTCGAGTTTTGCCATGAAATTAATAGAGTACTATTTTAACACCAATTCCAACCCTCATGCAAAATTCCATTGACTCAAAACCCCGTCGAAGTATGAAAAACTATCCTCAACAGATAAAAGTGCATAAATATTCAGATTTTCATGTTTGTCTAACTTGGACTTCGAGGGTAGCCACGAAATTGATAGAGTACCATTTCAACACCTTTTCCCACCCTTATGCAAATTCCCATTGACTCAAACCCCATCGAAACAGGAAAAACTGCCCTCAATAAATAAAAATTGATAACCCTTGAGATTTTCGTATTTTGGTGTTAAACTAGTACCCAATTAATTTCATGGCAGGACTGGAAGTCCAAGTTGGAAAAAATACGAAAATCCCAATCTTGTTTTTTTTGTTAAGGGTAGTTTTTCATATTTCGACGGGGCTTGAATCGATGGGATTTTGCATAAGGGTGTAAAAGGTATTGAAATAGTACCCTGTCAATTTCATGGCTATAGGTACTCGAAGTCCAAGGTAGACCAAAAATATGAAAATCTGAATATTTATGGATTTTTATTTGTTAAGGGTAGTTTTTCATATTTCGACGGGGTTTGAGCCAATGGGATTTTGCATGGGGCTTGGAAATAGTGTTAAAATACTACCCTATTAATTTCAAGACAAGACTGGAAAAAAAACGAAAACTCAAATATTTATGCATTTGCAATAGAATGTGTTCCGAGTGACCTAATCCTGATATTAAATATTGATTCGACATCTAAAGTAAATAAATTTGACATTTCATAAAATATTGGCACACTATAACTAAAAAATCAATGATTTTTTTCAAGCCATGGAATTTAAACTAAATCTTTTACATTATTACAATTTAAATAATTAAAAATGCTAAATCGGGAACATATTGGGTACTTCTCGTATTGGGGCCATCAGGATTATTTTCCAAACAAGATTGAAAAATAATTAATTTTGGTCCCCAACCTGACGCACTGATATCTTGTGCAACACCATAGGAAACGGGATACACTTAACTGTTCGATATAAGTTACAAAAAAAAAACTGAAAAACTCCAAATTAAAAATTACTCGCAGACAGCAGGTCGCAGGCAGTACGATACACTAGACCGCTAGGCACTTCACAACTGGGTTGGAGCCGTTGAAGGGCATCGACAGAAATTTATTTTATCGCAGTAATCAGCGGTTATGCCCTTCAAGCAAAAATAAAATCTTTTGGATATGTTAACAACTTGCGGAACTATGTATTGGATTTATTGGAAGTTTAATGTATAAAAGTCGTTTCTTTGAAAATCCGCATTTTTGCAAGCTTTCCTTATTCTACAAAACTCGGGAAGACTAAAAAATCTCGTACATGCTCATTACGTATGTGCAATGACCTAACTAATGACTTTTGATTTGGGTAACGTTTCATCTTGTTCTAAGCCGAAAGGAGCGACTTTCATTGGTTTTTCTACTCTACTACAGGCCATCCAGATTACCTGTGAGGCAGGAGGTGCCAACGAGTAGTCCCAAGCGAAATTTTGATCCGAAAACCACGCTGATGCCGTCTTCAAGCTCTTCTGTCCATGGGCCACAATTTTCCAGGATCTTTAGAAGAACACCCGTAAGGCAGCAGGTGCCACTGATCAGGCCGGAGCCAATTTTTGATCCGAAAACCACCTTAGTATCAACTTCAAGTTCCACCGTCCACGAACGACAATTTTCCAACTCCTTTAGAAGATCGGTAATGCAGCAGGAGCCACTGTTCCGTTCGAAGCCAAATTCTGATCCGAAAACCACGCTGATGTCGTCTTCAAGCTCTACTGTCAACAAACCACAAGTTTCCATGTCATTTAGAAGAACTGTGAGGCAGGAGGTACCGATGATCAATCCCAGACCAATTTTTGGTCCAAAAACCCCGCTGATGTCATCTTCGATCCCCCGTGTCCAGAAACCACAATTTACCAGGGTTTCCAGGAGCCCTGTGAGGCAGGAGGTGCCACTGATCACTCCTAGACCAATTTTTGGTCAGAAAACCACGCTGATGTCGTCTTCAATCGCCCTTGCCGACGAAACACAATTTTCCAGGGTTTCCAGAAGCCCCGTGAGGCAGGAGGTGCCACTGGTCACTACCAGGCCAATTTTTGATCCAAAAACCACGCTGATGTCGTCGTCCTCGATCCCCCCTGTCCAGGAAAAAATTTCCAGGTCTTTTAACGACAACGTAAAGCACGAGGTGCCACTCATCAGTCTGAAACCAATTTCTAAACCGAATGCAACTTGGAGCCCCCCTGTCCACGAACCACAATATGCCAGGTCATTGATAAAACCCGTGAGGCAGGAGGTGCCACTTATCAGTTCCAGGCGAATTTTTGAACTAAAAAACACGCTGATGCCTTCGAACACCATTGTCCGTGAACCACAATTTTCCAAGCCCTCCAGAAGCCCTTTGAGGGAGGTTCAACCCATGATGTCGCCTTCGAGACTTCCTGTCCGCCAACCAGGATGTTTCACGTCCAAGAGACCGGTGGAGCAGCAGGTGCAACCGAAGGGTTCCAACCCGATTGAGGGGCCACTAATCAGTCCGAAACCAATTTTGGAACCGAATGATACGCTGACGTCATCTTGGAGCCCCCCTGTTCACGAACCACAATATGCCAGGTCATTAATAAAACCCGTGAGGCAGGAGGTGCCACTTATCAGTCCCAGGCCAATTTCTGATCTGAACACCACGCTGATGTCTTCGAACCCCCTTGTCAATGAACCACAATTTTCCAGGCTCGGTAGAAGACCCTTGAGGGAGATGCCACCGATGATGTCGCCTTCGAGACTCCCTGTCCGCCAACCAAGATGTTCCCGGTTCGATAGACCTGTGAAGCAGGAGGTGCAACCGAAAGATTCCAACCCAAATTATGATCCGACGGTTCAAGCTCTCAGACCGATTTTAGGGCGAACACAAAAACCGTTGAAAAACGAGGAAGTTTGGAAGAGAGTTCCTGAAGAAGGCGAAATGCGCAAGTCTTCTGAGGAATAGTTTCTATCTAGTTTTAATTCTTGTTCTGATTTGATATTATTTTTTTTTACTTATGCTAGTTAAAATCATAGGAAAAAAGAGGCTTCTTTAGAATTTTTATTATTAGGATGTAGTTTTTGGTTTTTGTTCATCTACCGCCAAAATAAGCAGTACTGAACATATAAATTATATCATTTATTAATTTGTATCATGCGTATATGTTCAAAAAATGCATCATAGCCAGGCAAAAAAGCTTCATAAAGATTCTGCAAATCATTGAAAATATTTATTAGGAGTAGTTGCTAAAATTTTTCTGAGACTTATTCCAAACTTGAGCCTTTATTCCTTCCAAATCCGTACGACCGGAAATAGTGCTCTACTAAGAAAATTGTTTCTTAAGTTCAAAGATACATAATCACGAAGATTTTAACCTTAACTTAATGTCCACCTCATAGCTAATCCCAAGTAAGCGAAATATGATAAATGCAACTTGCGTGCGCAATTACGCAGAGCTGTAAATTTCGGTATACTGTTTATTTTGGCGAATACCGTATTTATCATAGTATAGTTATAGTTACTAATTGTTCAGACTTGAAATTTATCTTATACAGGGTGACTGGTAAGTGGACGCATTCCTGTGAGGACGTGAAAGTAGAACCCATTTGCTACCGATTAAACACTGTTCGTTTTCGATTCGCAACCTGATTCGTCCTGGTTAGTTCGGATATGACAGAAGTTGGTTGACAGCTCTTGAATTCGGTCTGTGAAGAAAGACGCCATGTTTTAAGGTTATAAAAGCAAACCGAAGTTCAAACCAAAATTCGAACCAACTCGCGGAGCTGGTTCGAATTTAGACGGACCAAGCGATTCCTGTCATCGGTTTGCAATCGAAAACGGTTGGTTCTAATTTGGTTGGCCTTGAAGATGGACCAAAGCGAATCGAAAACAGCCATTATTCACCTCTATACCGTTCTCAACAGATTTCGAGATATTTTTTCTATTTTTATTTTTAAGAAATTCACTTTTTTGCTAGTAGAGCAGGCGCTACAAGTAGTTGAGTATGCAAAATGTGAGGACCGGCAAAAATGCTCAAATTCATATTCCTGTGATCCTAAAGAATGGGAAAGTACATGTTGCCGGCAGCTGGAGTGGTCCCTAACTCTCCTGCCATCCCCCAATGCAAAGTTATATGGAAAATATCACAATTTCAAGTCATTTCACAATAATTCCTATTGATTGTACCTAAGGCTTTCTTTCCAAGCACTCCAAATAAATTACCTACCACTTGTTGGATATTTTTGCAATTCTGCTCCAAAATATACACAAGTAAAAGAAGACTGCGAGATGTACAGGGTCATCCAACGACGACTGAACAGGGGCTTATTTTTGACCTTCCCTGTTCCTGTAATTTTGAAAAAATTCAAAATAGCCAATTGGCATATTTTTTTCTGGAGAATTCAAAAATGGTGATTTTTTTGTACCATTTTCGTATTCTCCAGAAAAAAAAAATAACTACATATTATGAATTTTTTCAAAACTACAGGAACAGGGAAGGTCAAAAATACGCCCATGTTCAGTCGTCGTTGGATGACCCTGTACATCTCGCAGTCTTCTTTTACTTGTGTATATTTTGGAGCAGAATTGCAAAGATATCCAACAAGTGGTAGGTAATTTATTTTGAGTGCTTGAGAAGAAAGCCTTAGGTCGTAGGGATCAATAGGAATTATTGTGAAATGACATGAAATTGTGATATTTTCAATATAACTTTGCATTGGGGAATGGCAGGAGAGTTAGGGACCACTCCAGCTGCCGGCAACATGTACTTTCCCATTCTTTAGGATCACAGGAATAGGGTTTTGTGCATTTTTGCCGGTCCTCACATTTTGCATATACTCATTTCCGTCTAACTCCTGGTCTAAAGGTAAATATTTGAAATGAACGAAATAATAAGGAATGTACCTAATTAAGGTAAATTTTAACCTAAATATTTGGCAACATTTGTGTTGCAATACCTAATTAAAAACAAATCAAGTTATTTTTTTCTTAATATAGGTTACTCTTACAAATAAAACTCATCTATTTAATAATAAAACAAAAAACCAATTCTGAAATAATGTGCCTTATCCTGAAGATAATAAAATCGAGAACTTTTAACAATAATTTGTAGGTTTGATGTACCTACTAGGAAACAAACAACAAAAGCCCTTAAGAATGGTATAGAGGTAAATAAGGTTCAATCGGTAGCAAATAGGCTCTACTTTCACCTCCTCAACGGAATACGTCTACTTACAACAGAACAAAAACCGTTGAAAAACGAGGAAGTTTGGAAGAGGTTTCCCGAAGAAGGCGAAAAACACAAGTCTTCTAAGAACTAGGTTCTATCTAGTTTAAATTCTTGTTCAGATTTAATATTATTATTTTTTTTTTTATGCTAGTTAAAATCATAGGAAAAAGAGGCTTCTTTAGAATATTTATTATTAGGATGTAGTTTTTCTTCATCTATTTATCATAGTATAGTTACAGTTACTAATTGTTGAGACTTAAAATTTATCTTATACAGGGTGACTGGTAGGTGGACGTATTCCTTTGAGGAGCTGAAAGTAAAACCCATTTGCTACCGATTAAACATTATTTACCTCTATACTATTCTCAACGGTTTTTGAGATAAATTTTCCATTTGTATTTTCAAGAAATTCACTTTTTGCAAGGTAAATATTTGAAATGAACAAAATAATAAGGAAGGTACCTGATTGAGGTAAATTTTAACACAAATATTTGGCAACATTTCTTTTGCAATACTTAATTAAAAACAAATCGAGTGATTTTTTTCTTATAATATAGGTTAATCTACAAATAAAACTCATCTAATTAATAATAAAACCAAAAACTAATTCTGAAATAATGTGCCTTATTCTAAAGAATAAAATCAAGAACTTTTAACAATAATTTGTAGGTTTGATGTACCTACTAGGAAATTTTCAAAATTTTTAAGCATAAAGTAACCATTAGTTTTTAACTTGACAAAAAAATTTAAATGTAACCTGAAATAATTTAATAGTTAACATGATTGTTTCAATAATTTTCAATGCTGATATTTGTGTAAGTGTGTCAGCTTATAATTTAAAAAGCGACATTTAAAAAGGCTTTTATTATTTTCCTTAATTTTAAATATTTACCTTGCCATGAAGTGAATTTCTTGGAAATTAAAATGGTCTTTTCCACCAACTATTTTAGGGAGCCCTAACGATAAGTATTCCATAAAATGACATTTTTACATGGAGAAATGTCAGTTTAAGGCATACCTATCATTAGGGCTTCCCTAAAATAGTTGGTGGAAATAGCCATAAATATCTCAAAAACCCTTAAGAATGGTATAGAGGTAAATAAGGTTCAATCGGTAGCAAATAGGCTCTACTTCTACCTCCTCAACGGAATACGTCTACTCACAACAAAACAAAAACCGTTAAAAAAACGAGGAAGTTTGGAAGAGATTTCCTGAAAAAGGCGAAAAACACAGGTCTTCTAAGAAATAGGTTCTATCTAGTTTTAATTCTTGTTCAGATTTGATATTATTTTTTTTTACTTATGCTAGTTAAAATCATAGGAAAAAGAGGCTTCTTTAGAATATTTATTGTTAGAATGTAGCTTGTTTTTGTTCAATTATTTGTCATAGTATAGTTATAGTTATAGTTACTAATTGTTCAGATTTGAAATTAATTTTACATAGGTACTTATGCTAGTTAGTTACAATCATAGGAAGAATAGGCTTCTTTGGAATATGTATTATTAGAATGTAGTTTTTGTTCATTTATTCATCATAATAAGATTACAGTAACTAACTGTTCAGTTTGGATAATAAATAAATGAAATTTATTTAATTTATGTGTGTGTACTTAAAGGCTTATTGTATTTAAGAACATGTAACAGGCCTAAATGCCCGGGGGACCTCTTACATATCTTTGTCAGATGGATTCACAAGCTTCATAATTGAAAAATAATTTACTTCGCTATCAAAAAAAAAACAGTGACACAATAAAACTGGATCTAAAAACATGCATTAAACCATCTAAACATAAAATTAATGTTAAAAAATTACTATCAATAAAAAATTGACACAACAATAAAGAAACCATGGTAGGGTTTATTGAAAAAACAGCAATAAATGAAATTGAGCAATCATTAAAAATCAAAACAGTTTATTTTCTAATGAATTATTTCAAATAACATACTTATATGAACCAGAATAATATGAAAATACTCAATGCTGAGGGTAATGCAGCTGATTCATGAAACCTATGCCCCATCCTTGGAGCAACAAATAAATAATTTTATATATGTATTACATATTACATCGTTAATCGCTGAAAAATTGGCAAATACGAAAAAAATTGTAACTCAACCTCAAACACAAGTAATACTGTAAATGTAAAGTAGAATCTTTTTGATCTTGGGAACCTCTGCAATCTGCTTTCCCAGTTCCCATCAACATATTAAGTAACATTTTTTCTCAATTTCAGTGGAGATTAGCAAAAATGTTGATAACTCCATGCATGTTATCAGGTTTTATTCACACAACTTTTATATTTCTCTCATTTTCTTACCCCTGATTATTAATACACCTACCTGGTTTCCTTTGTTTGTGTTAGAAAAATTGAAAAATCAACTTTATTTAGAGTCACCTAAACACCATTCAATAACCCTGAGACGATGGGTGCCTATACAAAATCATGGACAGGGTTATTGATTATAAATGCTCCCCCTCTAACTTTTTTATTTGACATTTTAAAAGAAAAGTGATTCTAACCTATTAAATCAACTCTTCAATACAATTTTGATCAATTCAAAACAAAACAAATATCTACGTAATGTAGAAATGCCTGCAATACAACAGTTATTTAAAAGCGGAATTGACAGGAGAACACGTAGCTGACTGTAGATGGGATTAAAAAGATCATAACTCAGGAAGTTGATTTATTTAACACTCGAAACCAGAGAATAATTTTGGCAGCTATAGACAGGCA